TCCTACCTTTCTTTCGATAGTATTTACTCACTCGGAACGGTATCCTGGTGCGTGGTGGCCCTGATACACCGTTACCAAAGCTCGCAAAATGGAAATAGAGATCCCGAAAATTAAGCAGAAGAAAGAACGAAATCAGGCCCAGATACAAACATCTGTCATTGCGATATTCTCGAAAATCACTACTTTTAATATTCGGTTCGCAAAGAAAACTATCATTACATGCCTTTCGAAAGAGAGGTGGAGATGGTCTTCTGATGACATAGAATCTTCTTAACAAAAGCTTACGAAACAAAAATGTTAATTTTTGCTTGGAAGATTGAGTGACTATCAAGTGACCAATGACAGACCGTAGAATCTTATCCGCTCCAACATGCCATGTCCAGTTTGTGAGCGAATAAGCGTGAAGATTTGCGAGTTGTTCGAAAACCTGAAACATAAATGCTGTTTCGAGCATATTCATACAACGAAAAGTTAATCATCGCTCGTGATGAAACGGAGATCAAAAGAATCGAATAAGTGTGTACATAGCGACACTCAAATCAGATACACTCAAAAGAAAGCATTACAATGAAGGCAGTGAGTGAGTGTGGAATAAGTTGATATAATGGAAACTGTATAATGATATAAACAAACTCATGCTTAATCAGATTCGACATAAATGAAAGCATCAACAAGTCAGGTTCGCGCACATCAACTCTTTAACCAATCAACGATAAATCCGTCGGTCGCTTCTGATGACATCTGCTTATGCAATGATAGGTTGAATCGAACTCATCTGATTTGCACATATACCCAAAATGAAACGAAACCAACGACCAAAAGAAAAGAAGACATCAACTGTAGAAAGACAACAAACTCGAATAATTTCAATGCATTTGAACATCATTTATTAGCGATGAATTCATCAAATGCTGACAACTAAAAGCGATCAATAAAGCAGAGATAACTACTCATTATCAATAAATGGGAATCGCTTACGGCTCTGAGTGCTCTCGGTGAGAGGCCGTTGTAGAGTGGTTTAACGGCGGCCACATCACACAGATCGTCAAACAACAAAAGACCGGACTGTGAGCCTGAGCGTCGAAAATGCTGTGCGTAATAACAACTCGGAACTGAAACACCCATCAAATGCGCATCACCACGTGCCAACTGATAAAATGCTGTTTCAGATGCGTGTCCCTATAAGAAGAATGGATAATGCGGCGCAGTTGTTTCGTTGAAGATGACAACTTCGTTCAAACTTCATTTAAATAACTTTATTTAAACTATTTCCAGATGCTTTCCAAAACCCTTTAATACACACTATCTATAAGATGCCGTTTAATCAACGAAAATTTCTACTGTGATATATAACGATCGTTATTGCCTTTGAGAAACAGTTTGAGTGGTATTGCACTTGATGATTGTTAGATTTATGATGTCAGTTTACATCTGGTTGGTTGGATGGATAGCAGAATTGATAAATAAAGTTGTTGTGCACATCATTTCATCATCGAAAAATCGAATATTTCAACGCGCAGAAACACACTGAATCAGTTGCACTCTTGACTAGTGGGTGATACACAAACACGGAGGAGCAATTGCAAGCCAAAAGCAGAGAACATTTCGTATTTATCGCACGAACATCTCAAGATGATATTGAAATGGTTTGTTGAAACTACGAACCATTTATAATCACATATTAAAGTCACTATAGTGGCTACTAGTAGACGCTTCTCTATTTTTTGAAAATTGTTTTTGAAATGTGAGCAAAGCACGATTTTAATATAGAGAGCAGTGGATTTTATGTACTTTCAACCTTTGCTGACGAATTTGTTGATGGCTAATGTGCTGTATGCCTATAAAGTCTGATATCAATAATGTCAGTATCCAAGAATCATCGAACGTACCACTTTCAAAATCACCTCCAAACGATCACGTTGTTCTTGCAGCTCTTCGAGTGTTGTGTATCGAATATTCTTCGCTAGAATCTCCGTGGATGGTATTTTAAGAACAAGACTTGACGGCAGTTGATCACTGCTTGCACCTTGCCAATCGAACTGAAGACGTACGGTCACCGATAAGAAACCCTACAAGCAAACAATGAATAAACAATTCATAAATCTAATTGGTATTCAGATTTTACGAACACTGTCTAAATGTGTTGAAAGTTTCAATAATGGATTGAACAATGATTCTCGAATCGTCCATTATCTTGTTGGGCTAAAATGAACGACCGAAACGGTTTACTAACTTGTTTGCATCCGATGCGTTGAATAGAGAAATTTGGTCCAAATGAACATCTTGTATGGAAGACTGAACGAAGTTTACGTTGTAAAAAGGATATGGTCACTGTGGTACCGAATATGCCGAGATCTTTGTCCATTTTACCGAATGTTTCTTTGAACAGATGATGAGTTGATGAATAGCAGTAGATCTGAATAAGCTGGTAACAAAGAAGGCAAAATATGCCTCTGGCGCAGTCGCAACGACCAGCCAGTCTTATATTCCACTCGCACTCAACATCTCGCCATAGCTATCTTGGAATCTCCATGATTTTAATGGGATGCAGCGAAAAAATTCAAAACAAAGTGGGCAATCGTTGTAGTTTTTATCGATAAGATGCATGGAAATGAGCACAATAAACGAACAACATCTGACTGTTGATGATTGCATGATTCTTACCGATTATATCTTTCGTTACGATTAACATATTTATACTTTGGTTTAACACCACGATTCTTATTATCAATCACATGAATCAAATTATTTTCAATTCTCCACACGTACATAAATGTTTAAACTTTTTGCACTTTTTATTGTTGTGATCATAAGATTACGGCAAACCAATCGAATAAACGAATAACAAGTAATGCATTTTTACGAATCACAATAAGAACTTCCGAAGTAACTATTGTACGGATACATTTCGCCTCAAACCGGTGACTGTAATCAAAAACAACGATAAGAACGGAAAAAGGATGCAAAAAAATGTGCTCAATGGCTAGCATTCTTTTGAAGTGTCGATACACTCGATTTCATTCATAAATTCCACATACATAGAGTACACAACAGTTTTACTGCATTTGTTGTTGATTTACTGCATTTGTTTGTTTTGAGCATTCTTGAGGATTGATATTTGTGTTGTGCAACCGTAAAACCAAACTTGTCATCGCCGGTACATCGAAGTCATTTGTTTTGTTTTTTTTTCATTCCACGATTTCGAAAACGGTCGAAATTAACGTGCGCCCAAATGTGAATGTAAGCATTATAACTATGCGTACAAATACTTTAGCTGTTGCATGGATTGCTTCAGGAAATTGCTACGCAAAGAACCAACCATACGGCGTTTGTCATGTGAATTGCCGACGACTATATTCAACGCTGTGCAAAGCGATTTTTAAGTAGGAATCGCTCGCTTAGATAACGATTCGTTTCGTTTTGGTAAACAATGAATGCACA